TGATCGTAGACTTCACAGAGTCCCCAACAACTATGCTTGGATTCTATTCGTGCTGCTCTTCTTGACACTTTGCCTGCTAATGTAGCATACGTACTGCAACCACAAATCAGTGAATGGAACGAAGATGGAGAGGTTTCTAGAATTTAGTTAACTGACCAGGCACTGATTGATCATCTCTTGCATATAATGATGATTTCCAGGTTCTCCAAATTGTTGCGGACATTCCTTGTGAGAAGCAGCGGATAGGAAAGCTCGTTCTTGGGAAGGTATGTTATTATCAGCACTAAAGCTTAATGTTATCACATATGAAATAATCCGAGTAAGCGTGGTTCCTGCAGTTACAGTACTTTTCCTTTTTGTTATCAGCGAAGCCTTAGAAAAGTATTGATCCCACATAAATACATACTTCCAATGACCGTGTATTTAGTTGTTTGAGTGTGGGTGTGTGCCATAGAACTGGGAACTTTCCTTCTCCTATTATAGAGCCTTTGAAATGTGAGCTTTATTTGGTGATATCGAGCAATTCTAGTAGTTTGCTGTCGGAAAATGTCGTTTTTGATCGGAAAGATAGTGACTAATTTTTCGGGAATTCAGGTTTTTTTTTTCAAAGTCATAGGCTATCACTCCATATTTATAGCAGCTGTAATTATCAATTTTTGCATGGGGTGCAGATGGAAGCAGTACAACGCAATGTTTCAAAAGGTTCATTGAAAATACATCCCTTAGCCAGTTCTTCAGAATAGATCTTCTAAAATACTGACTTGTGTGGTTCTCCGAGTTCTGGAGTGTTTTTCATTAGTTCGTGGATTTTATTATGCCCTCGTCGCCTTCTAGCACCCTGTACCTAGCTGAGCCGGTATAGGGTCAAAAAGAGTGGTAAAGGTCCATATTCAGTTTCGACTAACTAATGATCCAGTGCGTAGAATATGCAACCATTCACGTTCCTTTTTGAATTTTGAATGAAGATCGAATTCATAGCGCATTTTCTCCATCCTTTCCCTTCGTTATCGTAAATTATATAGAAAAACCTGATTTTGGTGTTCTCAGTATTCTGATAGCTTTCAGGGTGGACAAAGAATAGTGGACATCGGAAAACGTGTCAACGACCACATGAGTAATTTGTTTGCAAGACAACTGTTTGTGCGTATTCTTGTTAAGCACAACAAAAAAGTCATGAGTATTCTTTCTTAAAAGGATGTGTCTTATATTGTTGTTTGACTAGGGAGTAATCGTGCCAAATTGCTTTCTATTGATGTTAAATTAGTGTTAATTGCTGTTAAAGTAAGTATTGTAGTAGGTTGTTACACATCATGTTACGAATCAAAGAGTCGGGTCAATTATAAAATTAATCTAGTAATGTTACTGTTATAGGCGTTTTTATATATAGCTGCTCAATAGTCTAAGCGCCGTTGTTGTTGTCTTCTTTGTTTCTTTTGAAGATCTCCTTCCTCTTACGTCTGACAAGCAAAGAAGCTTTGATAATCTTAGGGTTTTTAGATTGTCAAAATAAATAAGGCCTCTTATCTCTTTTTTTTTAATAAGAAGAAAGTTACAAATTTCAACACCAGAGATTACATAGTTCTAGTTTGTAAAAAACTTGTACTTTCTTTGTTGATTGTTAACGGTTGTTTTTGGAGCCCCATGTGGGTTCTGTTGCTTCGAGTTGATATGAAGCTTATTGCTGTTCTGTTTCTTCTCTAATGGAAACGTCGATAGAATTCTTCGTGTTCGGCGTGCTCTTTCTCGTATTGAGGCCACCCTTAGAGGTAGTTGTTTTTTTCTCTAAAAGAAGGTAAAGTAGTAGTACTGAGTAGTAGTGAAGAAAGTAGTATAAAAGTAAAGCATTGGTGGAGCTCCAGTTCCCAGGATAAACTAGGTTTGTAGGACGTTCACGAATAGCTAGTTTGGAGAACGTCATCTGGTTTAAAAAAAAGCGATTTTGGATTTCTACAAAGCATAAAAGATCACGAAGGTGATAGGAACGGAGTGGGCCTTCAAAGCATACTTCCTGCGTGGGTTCAGGTATGATTCAGGATCTCATCGATTTTGTGAAGACACCCTCGAATATCACCTTCTTTAGGGTGAATAGCAATTATAGGGAGAGCTGTTCGAGATTTTTTTGACTGGTTGTTCTTATCACTCGACTTTTGAAAAGAACCTGTTCGGCAACTGCGAAATCATTGATACTCCTGAAACCATTGCTAGTGCTGATAGACATGCTGTTGATTCCTGCTGCCAGGGGAAACACCATTGCTAGTGCTGATAGACATGCTGTTGATTCCTGCTGCCAGGGGAAACATAATTTGTAAAAGGCACCATTTTAGTTTGCTGCTCAAGAAATTTTAGATGAACAATTTGTGTGCCGCCCTTCACCTATACGACGCATCGAAGAAAGGGTTTGAGCACGGAAACGAGTCAGTTGGAGCGGCCAACATACGCAATGGGTGCTTTTAGAGTTCGACGACGGTCATTCTTTGATCGGCCGGACGGCCAACCGACCGACAAACTGCGTTGCTGGCCACGTATTGACAACACTGGACTGATGGATATCGCTCGCGCGGTCCTGAACGAAATGTGCCCTGCGTTGTCAGCTTGTGGCCAGCA